TGTTTTTTTCCTCATAATTGTTGTGGCCAACTTCTACATACAAATCAATTACGAGATGCTAACGAAAAAGATTTTGTTATAGTAGACCCTGCTTTAGCTGAGATGCAGCAGAAGCACAGCGGTTACCAATGGTTTAATGCTATTGAACGTCTGCCACTTTGTTGCCTTTAACTGTACTACAGCCTTTTTCTATAAATATATGTTTTGTTAGATGACTTAAATGCTGTGATTAAAGTTAAAATATATAGATCGTGAGTGCAACAGGGGTTTTGTAACCCAAGAAACGGAAAGGATGGTCAGCTTAGCGACGATCGATCTACCCTACGAATAGGTAGAGAACAGGCTAAGTATTATTGTCTACGACGCATACTGAACAACTTTACCTAGACGCAAATATAGGTCTCCTTTAAGTGAACTGCAATCACTCATCTCCATTTATTTGCCAGCGACAATACGACAAATCTATTTTTTTTAGTAAAACGTTGCAATTATGTATCTGTTTAAGAAAATCGGGTTTCGACGGGTCGTTGCCGCATCCACTCCGGACAGGAATAATCCGTTCGTCCATCTTGTTCGAAGGGAAGTTGTCAACCAAAACATTTTTTACACACACTCACTGAAGAGCGAATGATAACGAAATTGCGTATATATAAATTATAAACAAATAGCTATAGAAACGATGTCGGTCGGCACTGTACAGTAACCGGCAAGGACTAGAAACGAGTTTTCCTGTCAGTCCAATCTCGATCTTTATAGGTATCGCTTTCTAGAAGCTACAGGATTGCAAACACGTAACAGTTGATACGTACAGGACCAAGTAGTTTTCGTTAGAATAAGTACGGCATTAGCAAATCAGATGAACCAACGTATTGAGAATGGAGAAACGGTTCGTTAGGGTCATAACTGTAGTAACATTACGTCAGAGCAGAGAAGCTTCTGAGATGCTTACGAGAAACAACGGAAGGGATTAGAACGATAATTAACTGTTGTAATTATGCCAACCAGATCCATGATAACCAGATAACTAAACTGGAGTGAAAAAAAGATTGGGCGTATTACTAATCAAATTCTTCATCAGCGCAAACAGTCTGATAGATCGTATGAATATTAGTTAGGAAAAAAACCAAATGCTTTATTATGCTTCAATAATGTAACGATAGCGATCATTAGACTAACACGACATTAACAAATCATAATAACAAAATTGATTTCCAACTTAAGTTATTATGTGTAACTCGATTTTCAATGGTTAGGGGGTGATAACCAGCGGTTTATAGATAAGTTGAATCCACCTCGCTGACCAGAGCGGTATGCTCCCTTCATAACTAGCTATCTCTTCTACTGTAGGATGGGGGAAGCCCACAAAACATCATAGTCCCCTTCGTTATACACCAATGACCCCTTTGGGAGCTCTCGAGTCGAACATGCGCATACTAAAGTAGACTAAGATAAAAATAGATATCAATAAAGGATGCAATACATAAGCTTACAAAAATTCTTGCCAAGGACCGACAGAACAGCGCAGGGTAGTGTCCTAGGTGAGAGACCAGCGGCCAGTGTATTAGTGGAATGCAGATATAGCCGAAGCCTGAAGCAAACGTATAGGCTTACACTACTTGGCACCAAAAGACGTACCTAACTTAAGAGAAGATAGCAGCAGAAAGAGACAGACGAAAGGGTTATGAATTAGGAGAAAAAGAAATTACAGGATCTCGAGATTCTAAAGCAAACGACCATGTGGAAACCGATAGAAAAGGCCGAAATGAACTGATATGACTTGTTCTCCAGCTATCTCGTCGATATATATAACACTTCTTCGCAAGCTTGGCCGCCTCTACGCAAGTAAGACCGTGAAACTCCGTAGGCATCTTTTTCCAAGTTTACTTGTCTGCCTTCACCTTTCCTCAAGACCTTTTGCGATACTAGTCCCCAACCAGGTAGTACTTGTATATACGCATATACTTCCCAGTAGTCTACGTGCATTAGCAACATAAATTCCAACGGAAACCTCAAGGCTACATATGCCAGTCAACCTGTCAATAATTCTCCGCTTGACTCCATCACCTGAGCTCAAGCGTCGTTTGCCATTCGAATTCCGAGGTTTCATTTGATCTTCTTTCATAATGGTTTTCTTCTTATATAGTTCACAGTTCCTTACCAATCCTTAAGTGAGTTTTTCTAAACTTCTATTCATTGAAGAGCGTCACCAAATAGCAGGTTGTCCTTTTCCGTTACCCCGTTCGCAAGGTTTTCTAGTTCCTTTGTTGTTTTTGTAAATTAGAATATTGTGGCAAGGACTCAGCCTTTATGGACGTCGTTGCGGCCACGTAGTTGTAGCCGGTCCTATGGTTATTTTTTGTTACCACCATGTGCATCGTCGCAATTATAGATCTGTTTTATAGAGCTATGATTAGCTTATTCCCAGCTCTACAGTCTTTTTGTTGAGGTGTTTGGGAGTGTCCGGAACATTTTTCATATTCCTAATTCACTTTCCTGATGACCTCGATTCCACACTGTACCGCGTGGGGAACAGCCAGAAGACAATGACCTTCAAATTACATTAAGGAACCTACAAGTTCCAATGAAAAGGGCGATTCCAGCCTATAACTCAAGTTATCTAGATGTCACCCGGAGTCATCTGGCGCATAGCCTTCAGATAGGCTACCTTAAGCGGCCTTTGATGTACCTTGCCTGCCTTTTGCAATCGCTATATAGTCCCTGAATTATTATTTACTAAAACTAGGTATTCTCCCTAAGTTCTCCGTCCTATCAGCTGTTGTCACACGGTTCATGCACGCACTAGTGGTTTTGGGCACATTTATCAAAGAGTTACGTACAATTTTTGGTAAAAGGAATTGCCTAAAGACGTGACTCGATTAATATCGATTTACGCGCCCGAAGTGGATCTCCATCTCAGTTTGTATTTTCTTGACATCGATTACCCTGATGAACGAGAAGAATCAAATCATACTCACTTTTAGCTTCAATCTTGAAAATATGATTTCTGTGAAGCCTTTAGTCTGATCTTCCCGTTAGGCATCTTCAATTAGTAATTGCCAACCATCCTTTGCCCACCATCCAATTTCGTTTCAGACGGATCCTGAAGCCTACAAAAACACCTCTATGCAGCACGCTGTTTTCCGCCAGTCAAAATTGAAGATCAAAAGATCCTTTCGCCTATCATCAAGTCCGCTAAAACCGAACAATCCAGATTGACCATAATCAAGTACTTTCCATGATCACAGCAATATGATTCTTTTTCTTTGCGGTCCCGAGATTTAGTTACCTCTTCCATAACCCTCAATCTCCACGTTTATTTCAGATAGCTGGCACGTTATGAGAACTAAAAGACCATAAGGGATAAAGTCTGAAGATGAAAACGTCGCTAAATGTACATATCAAAGGAATACAGTAAGTAGTTAATGATTATTGAGAAGAATTCAGCTCTCTACCGGTATCATTAACTATTTATTGCATTTCTTTGCCGTACATTTAGCGGCGCCTTGATTTTCAGACTTTGAGTTACATATCCTTCATGGTTTTCTAGTTCCCATAGCGTTCCAACTATCCCAATTTACTTTTTATCCCTTTACTCGCGTAAAGAACTAAAGTGCCGCGTCCCTGTGTCTGCGCAAAAAACGAGAGCGCTGTGTGCCACGAACAAATAAACTTTGTAAGAAGGGATGGAGTCTAATGGGTGGAATTTATCGGCCTTTGCATTAACGCGGACAAGTATCACAGGCCTCGCTGGATATGTCAGTAATGCACATACATTACTTTATGATTAATGGCTTCTGAGAAAAATGTTTACCCCGTTACTTCTTTCGCTTTTTATCAGCTTGTAGTTATAATTAGTAGTTCTATATATATTATAGTATAGTTTTAATTAATTTCATCGGTGTTACATGTCAACCTAATAGAGCATACTTTGCTTGCATAACTATAATTTTCTTTCTTATAGAATATCGAAATAGAATTCTTTCTATAATCTTGTAGCACCCATTGCGTTATCCAGTTGCAGCTCTTTCGTAGCAGTAATTTTACTTCGCTGATTCGGTCAATCTATTATTTTTAACTTCGTTGCGTAGGCGCCGTTACCCTGTTGTCCTCCGCAGCAGATCAGTAATATCCAACACCAGCTGCAGCTGCACTGCAGTTACCCTGTGATTCGGACATGCTCCTGACGTACTCCAGGACCTTCTTGTACCTATAATTTGGTCTTGGCCAACCATTAATCAAGTATTACATATGTCCCTCCCTCTACTTCGATATACGACAAACAGCTATCTGTACATGTGAGTTGACCTCAGGCTGTGCACGCACCTCTGGTCTTACAGCTTATTTAAAATGTGCATCCTGTTAGAGTTACCCTTGTTTCCCCGTTATAACGTTTTATAATTTCACTTTCATGTTAAATTTATGCAGTTTCACTACTTCATTCAGAAAGACAGGCTCCGTATCGATATGCTTTATCAATTCTTAAAAATTTCCGAAAAAATCGTAATTTTTAATCGTAATTAAAAAAAAAAGTGCAAAACTATCTCATAATTAAGCTCTTCCTAAACTCAGATTTCTTGTCTATTTTATTATTGTGAGGTCAGAAATAAAAACATCGTAATCAGTATAATTAATATAATTATAATAATATAAATAAAAAATCAGTGTAATTACAATGAAGCACGCGAAAAATGAACGACTGGGATTTGTATAATTAAGCGCAATGGATACGGAGCCAATTAATAGATACGTTTTACCACAGCAAGCTAACTATCTCGCCAAAACGTCCCAGCCACAATGATCCCAGCACGTCACGACGGCATAAATCGTCACTTAATTTCCACATTGATATTATTTATTAATTTCTAACAATTCCTGCCAAAATTACACACTTTACCTTCAAATCGAACACTCTCCTTCGCCCACAATCTAATATTGTGCCTATTTTGTAAGCTTTAGAAAAACAAACGATTTCCCAATACAAATGTTCACCAGATACTCACCAGACGTCGAACAAATCATCAGGAAAGGTGCCTAAATTAGCATTATTCCTCCTGTCGAAAAAAGCCTTCCCGCTCCTGGAAAAAACCTATTTAGCCAGTCTCACGCGCATTCTTCAGGGTCAAGCTGTAGCGTCATAGATCCAAGCTAAGACTTTGCCGATTTGGGTCGAACAGAGAAATCCATTGGCTGATAACACATGGACTTCGTCTTTGTAGTGTAGTAGATAAATAAATTGATCGCTTATAAGGAACATTTCACTATTTATTTCACCTTTTAATATCATCAACATCATATGAGAAGCATGTTACTTCTCAATAATGAAAACGGCATACGGCCTTAAAGCAGACGTAATTGTAATTACATTATAACAGTAACAAATGGTGATCTATCGGGATTATAAACTAACTAGAATTAACAATAGTGGATATTTTTCAAGGAAAATTACTGCAGGCGAGTACTTCAGTAAAACACTGCAAATTAATTAGTGACAAAACACTGATGACGGTTTCCGTTAACTGCTGCATGATCTACCTCTAATTCAAGTTCCGCTTGGTGGCAACTTTAAAAAACACCAAACTTTCGCTGAGCGTACTTTACACTTTAGCGTCTCCACCTTTAGAAGAACGCTTTGAGTCTCATCAAACTAATACTGTAAGTGTATACTATTATTGTAGCCCTGAATATGAATAATTTTGCAATAGCAAACCTGCTGCAGACCTGCTGGAAGCCTTTCATGGTAACGATCAGATATACGTTAGCTTCAGTAATATGGCCATATAATATAACTGTCTAACGTCTTTGTAAACTTTATTTCCATATAGGAATCATGAGAATTGACGTTGATTTAGCACCTGACACTGCTGAGCACAAAAAAAGAGGTACTAAAAGTGTTCTACAGGACAAGAACAGTCTCGCTGAAAGTGTAGATTTTATTAGTGTTATATCTTTGAGCAGACACGATGCTGGTGAGATGGGTGTTGCGGGCGAATGGGACACTCGTCATTAAGGGAGTCTCCATAAAGAAGCGACAGGTTAACAATTATCGCCTTGTCCTGGGTTTGAGATTTGACTTTTTGTTGTCATGTGTATGTACATTAACTTATCGAATATACTCTAGGTGTATGTCGCCTTTGGCCTTGTTAGGAAATCAATAAACATTTGCCCATAGTAACGATTCCTCGAGAGCAGGTGACATGGAAGATACGATATGTTAAGGCATCTCGTCCAAAGAGTGTCTTTGAGACCCGGTTGTTTTCTTTGAAAGTAGCCTTTGCCCGAACCTCTATCGAGATCACGGATGCCTTAACCGCTCACACGTAATTGTTATGTATTGCTTGCGTCAACAAGTGCATGAGTGTTGGTTATTGCCAATGGAAGGTTTAGCCGAAACCTTGAAGAGTTCGACCTAGCGACCTTCCGACCTAGGCCCTCATTAACTTGAAAGCAAAACTTAATTAAGCATCATTCTTTATAAAATAGTTAGCTTCGATAGCCTTGTACTTAACAATTAAAGAAAATATGTACAAATGACTAGCTACATAGAGAAGAACAAGTTACCGTCTTAATCAACCTAATTAGCAGCATAAAGTCCATGCAACCGAAACGACCTTCCTAACCATAAGTAGAAAAAGATACTTGTTTGAAACTATTGCTAGGGCTCAGGTATAAAAAGTTTTGAGGAACGTTAAAGTTCAAGTTCGTAAATGATTCCGTTTATTGCCAATAATTTATAATGATTTAATAAGAAGTTGGATTTTCAACTAAATATCCACTGATTCAATATGGCATCTATATTGTTAACTGTTAACCGTCAACTTCATTAAAGGTGAACGCATCCTAGCCGCTTACGGTAATAAATAGTATAGAAAATAAAGTGTTAAAAAAATAGTCCACTAATAGATATCGACGATTTTCAAAATTAACAGGGTTTTCATCTGTCAGTGCGTACGCTTTCTCAAAGAAGACTCGAAGGCATGTCGGTCGCGCATACAGGGATAGCTACAATTCAAAGTGGCTTGCCATGGCAATGCCGAAACTGGCCATTGTCTCGACGATATCCTTTAGTTAAATTTGGCCTGAAAGATTATAGAATACTCTATTAGTGACGGTGGCAATGTTGTTTGAGTTTGTGCACTCTTCTGTGTTCTCTCTTCTATGGTGTTTATCTGAGATATTTTTAGATATCCGATGTTACTCTAACATTGTATTCTACTTGGCTGAACGTGAACTTGGCTGTTACATGATCGTCGTGCTCTGCGCAATCAGCATAAAATGGAAGAAAAAATGCAGAGAAGCTGCTATTAATTTTGTCGTGAATATCTCGAGGAATTATTGCTAGGTAATCCAATTCTCGGAATCACCTTGCTTGAGGTATAATATCAAGGACTTGCCCCAGTTGGGAATCTAATCGGAGTGAGTTGAACCCATTCAACGGATGGCATCGCAGCTATTCACTGATTTGTGATTCTTAATTTGGTATCTGAGGCCAAGAGTTCGCAGCAGAGCTCTCTTTTTAAACGCGCTCAAAGCTGAAGGTTAGAGGAGCGTTTCCATGACGAGCGCTCTACGGTCCACTGCGTTTTTTTCGTCCGATTTCCTCCATATAACATCACCTTTTAAAGAAAAAAGATCTAATGCAATAAAGAGCAAACATTTGACTAGCCTTCAGAGTTCTGTTTGTTGGTAATTTAGTTGTAACAAAAATATACTTGGTTTTCATATTTGTTATGCGATTAATAAGCACCCGTCCATTTGAACGACACCGTTCAGAAAGTACATCGAACTTAGTCTGGTAGAGACAGACGACTAAAAAATGTCCAACAAAGTGCTCTAATGCATTTGTTGTTTCTTGTAGAATAGGCTTCTTTTGAAAGACGTCTAATGAGAGTGCGACATTGAGCTGAATAAAACCTTACACTGTCGGATGAGGTTACTTGGATTGGGCTAGATCTTCAGACGGTTAAGGTTAGAAGATCGAGCGGTAGATGGTCGCAGACTGCCATTGAGTTGAACGTAACAATAACAACCCGCCACCGCACGTATATCGGTAGCCCCACTGAATCTGCCTGTTTCGTGGCCTACGGACTCTTTTGAGGCCAGGACAAAAAGCTGCGTTCATTTGCACCTAACCCGGCGAAGAATTATTCCCTTAGACGAACAACTGGGATTTGGATGAATGATATGCAGTCAATACAGAGCCAAATTCTCGATGTCTTTTCAATACAGTAACCCCCTACTCCATTAAAACGCTGTTTTAATAATGACGCTAATATACTGTGACACTCCCCGCATGCCTATTAATGTCTTCCGATTAAGCATCAACATATTTCATCAATCTCTAACAATTTCGTCAAAAAATCACCATTTCTATTAAAGACTCAAGAGTGTAAAAAAAGAATACCTCCTGAATCCTATTTACGGAAGAAAAGATCTTCTTTTTCTCGGAACAGTTATCTTTCAATAGAAGAACATGAACCACACGTCGTGACGGTTTCTGGATTATAAATGACACGCTGTTTGGTCAATGAGCAAAATCAGTATTACGCTTTGTGGAACGAAAGCGTCCATTCAGTTAAATATGTATTAGTTAAAAACATGGCACTTATGGCTTACGGTGCAGTGATGGTAGTCGCAATAGTAGTCAGATAGCTAGCGTATTGCGTTGACCTTGCACGTATCAAAGTATCGTCTACACGGAGCTAAAAATACGTTTCAACGACCATAACTTGCGTATTACTTACTACTAAAAACAGCTTTAATTTTCATTTAATTAAGTCTTTGAAAAAATTAATCTAAATATATATTTACTCGATCCAGATGAAAAGTACCTGAAAGAAGCCTAATTTTTTTTAATAAATGGTAGTAAATGTTATTAAAACAAATGTTTTGTTTGCTATTTTTGATTCTTTATATATATATATATATATATATATATATATATATATATATATATATATATGATTATTCTTAACATAAACTAAATTGTTTATGATTGATTACTTGCTTTGCTTAATTTAATTTAGTTACACCTTCTATGGTCTAAAACAATTTGAATGGTTAAAATTATCGTAACAACTAGTCCTTAATCATGAAATGCGTTCCACCATGAAATGCGGGTAAACATCGTTTCTTAATATATTATGTGTTATAGAATCCGCTGTACGGTTATTGGTGCTTGAAGATGGCTTAAGGAAGCACAGCTTAAACCAACTCCAGGTATGGTTTGATAGATCCAGACTGGTTTTGCCCGTTGTATAAAGCATATTCCAGCTTGCCAATATCCGTTTGTCCGTGGAACCTACAAGAGCCTAACGTTTATTTGCCTTTCTAGGTTTCGGGGGCACGATGTTAATAGGTGATTCTAGTTACTGTTCTGGCCGAGATTTGCGAGTGTGTCTACGCGTGTGTGTATTTTGTGAATGATCCTTTGCCATCAGCAAAAGCCGGTTTGTCTTTATGTGAGCTTTAGCTGTAGATTTCTGCAAACGTCAGCGTCCATCTTGTTCTAGCAACGAAGAATCCACATGCTGCGTTCAACTCAATTTCTATCGGCACGGCCAAAGACCTGAGGGCCACAAAAGTAGAGGGTATGCCGACTTCATCATCACACGCATTTCGTTTGTATGTAGTGTTTACGCAGATCACAAGGGGACACAATGCGGCCAAGCTATAACAACGCCTCGCGCATTTACCCGTATGAGATACCTGGAACTGCTCTTGGCACAGCAGATGAGCACTACCATCGTTCGTGTTTCGTCAATGTTATATATTACTTTGTGAAGTTTCGGTTTGATTTGTACGTTTTGTAAGGGCTGACTTCTTCAGATTGGAAAAAACTTATAGCCATAGAGCCAGTAAAATAAACGATAATATTTGGTGAATGAGAAGCAGGACAAAACTGGAACTATCATTCTGTGCTAGCAAGTAGCTGATAGCATATCTCTGTCCGTTGCGTATTTCAGCGTCACTATCTGCTTGCCCACGGCAGCGGCAGCGGCAGGCCTATTGTGATTGGTTTATTTTGAAAAAATTGAATAAATTAGCTATCCACTGACATATACCTTATTATCGGTGTACGCA